TACAGAAGGCTGTTTCTTAATGCTGTCAATTTCGTTTTTTGTTTCCAGACCATAGCCCAGTGGCGTAAGGCCGGCTACCAGGAAATGGCCGAGTACGAGAACTTCAAACAGCTGCTGCTGGCTCCACTGGACGATGCCCAGGAGATCCTGCAGACGCGCTTCCCCATGCCGCGCTACATCGACACAGAGCACGGAGGCTCCCAGGCTCGCTTCCTGCTCTCTAAGGTCAACCCATCGCAGACCCACAACAACATCTACGCCTGGGGACAGGTACGGCATTATACGCTATGACTTCATGCTTCAGAAAAAGATTGCTTTTAAAGGTCCACAACATTTTCGGCAGACCATCTAAAGACGTCGGTGGATTTTCACTCATTTGTCTCGCTCCTCATGGAGCTTCAGTGGAAGTTATTTACAACCTCCTACAGCGCTTTCATAACGCATCAGTACAAAACTAAAATTTCTGAAAGTTTCTGAAATTTCTCATTTACTTCTTGCCTCCAAATGAAGTCTTTTAAACCCCCGGATTGTCTGTACCCCTGGGGGGGAAGTTTAAAGTCAAACTGTTGGAAAATCCAGGTCTTACATTTGCTAACCTCTGAATTTAAGTGTGGGAGATTGAAAGCTGAAAATAGCATCAATCTCTTTATTTCCCAAGATAAGAACTATACCCTGCTGTTTATAAACACTGTGAATACATATACAGCGCTCCCACAATGAGGTTATGAAGAGAACAAGGCCCCGCGTAAGCCAATCTTAGTGATAAACCAGTTTTGCTCCACTAAAGTGATCATGGGATCAGAGTTATGTAATGAAAAGATCTGTACGCTAAGTGCGTAATTCACTCGGCCTCTGTTTGCTTCCTGTGCATCTGTAGGAGGCGGGCGCCCCGATCCTCACCGACGACGTCAGCCTGCAGGTCTTCATGGACCACTTGAAGAAGCTGGCCGTTTCCAGCTCCACGTAGACGTCTCTATTCCACCACAGAGATCAGACATTCACGTTACGACATCGGGATCCATTAACATTTATTTCCCCTGCTAGTTTTTAAATGAGCCAAACCCAGAGAGTCCACTGTATGTGCTTGATTGTGTCGTTTCTGGAGTCGTGTGTGTGACATATCCATGCTACAACATGAACAGGAAGGAAAGAAGGGGGGGGAGGGAACGACACATTCCTAATATGAAAAAGAAGTGATATTTCTACTCATTTTCATTAACTTGTTATTTATAAGAAACTGCTCCAGTACTCGAGACTGTCCTCATGTAAGCAATATCAAATACTCTTTCTCTTTTATATTTGACATTACAGAATAATTAGACTAATGATACGTTCTTGTTTTATTTGTCCTATAAATATGACTACTGCATCAGAGTTGGTTAAATGTGCTGTCCAAATACGCTGCTTGTCTGTGATAACATTTTCTCATGAATAAATTCTGATGGTACCGTCTGATGCTGAAGAAGTGTTCACAGGTCTCATCGGGCTTCACACCGATGGCTTGTTAATCACAGTTTATTTGATATATAGATTTAAAATCCTACGTGGATTATACCCGTTTGTTCCAAGAGAATTCCCTCTGAATAATCAGGATTAATGTTCTGAGGAATTGTGGTCCATCACATCAACTCAGCAGACCGACTCTGTTTTCAATGACGAACATTGAGCTTTATTTGTTACTTCATAAGGCACTCTATAGTTTAGTCCTCTCATCACCATCTGGTATTTTGCACCCGATGATTGCCCAAGTGTCGTCCTAATCAGACTTCAATAGGCTGAGTTTGTATAAAGGTTGTTTGATTTAGATCCTAATGCTATCCGTATAAAGCCCTGTTGGCAGGAAACGTTCTGTCTGTGTCGTGTGTCCTCGCACCAGCATGCGCCGCCTGTTCACAGAGCATTTTCCCCGGGATAGAAACGTATAAACTGAGGTAACAGAGATGCTCAGTTCATACCCCAGGCATCTGTTAGTTGACGTGCAGCAGAAGGAGAGGCCTTGCTCTTGCAGGTCTAGTATTGCAGATTTGCACGCAGCATGTTGCTACAATAGTAGGTGGCTCTCCCTCAGCAATTGTCTTTTTTTTGTTATTCATTTGTTGCTACTGTACATAATGCCTGCACGGCACGCAATCCCAATCATAAAACCACTCTCACACACCATCTACTGTCACTAAGCTGATTTCAGAGCACCCAGACGGTATGATTTCGAGGATCAGTGAACGGCAGATTATGAGGACTAATCCTTGGGGGCTATCTGTTTAGAGGCAAATTCTACTCTGAGCAGCTTTAAGCGGAAGTTGCCACTGAAATACAAATGAAGTGTGTCTATCAAGAGCTTATGCCTTTATAATGTTGAACTCTGAAGCCACATATGCTCCGAAGGTATTCAAGGCCAAGTAAAAAGAGATGCGATGCAGCGGCTCTTAATCTCCTGACACAGAGACCACTGCACGATGCCAAAAGCTCCTCTTAGGTCCGTGCATTGTTCAGTTGAGGTCGGTGCAGCTGCGTGAGATGTGATGCCGTACATGGATATGAAATTATCTCATAAAGGGAAAGCAATCATGTCTTCATTTTAATCTGTGTCTCTACACGTGTCCATCTTGAACCATGCAAAGGAATGCGGCTGTGCATGTTCGATGACGTTCAGCGGAACAAAAGAACATTAATATTTATCTCACAGTGATCATTCATGATGCTCATGTCCGTGTTTCCCAGGCTTAGGCAAAGCTGTAAGGAAATGTGTTGTCTTATTATCTCCTATCAAATCCTAACGGATCAGTTCTAGTCCAGCAGCCAGAGCAATCCATTCTGCTTTCTGTCCCAGATACCTTATGTAAGATTTCTATATGGAATATGTCGGAGCACGTTTATATAACTATGATACACAATGCTGTAGTCACATGATGCCTACCATGAATAATATAGTTCTGCTCCTTTGCTGTTTGGATTAAATGAGCTAAGACTTGAGTCTGAATGTATATTAATATTGTATGTGAGTACATGTACAATATTTTTTTATTCCAAAAATGCTCAGAGCCACAGATGTATAATAGTCACCTAGGTGTGAAATAACAGTCCAAAGGAACATACCTTTTAAGAGTAGCAGTACTCATCTTTATATTGCAGATTTCATCAAATCTAATGTAGAGAAAAAGAAGCACGGAGAGAAAAGTTACGAGTAGTAACTTTTTTAACAGAATATAACAGCCTGTGGCCCACTAATGAAAGTATTGCAATATTTACATATTTACAGTATTACCAACTGCATTACAGTTTTTCTCCATCATTTACACAAAAAAAATGGGACTATGCACAAATTTCTGAAAGAAATTACACGTTGGTATGGATTTCTGGACACAGTCTGCAGACTCCAGACTGCTAAAGTCCATTTTGTTCACTCAAATAGAAATTCTCAATCAAACAGGACTGAAATGTTAAGTATTAACACTTTAAAACCTGTTAGGACCTGTAACCGTTTGTGAACAGCAGCTGCTGTGGTCACAATGAGACGGTGATTATGTACTGACAACATATACATGTTGAGAATGTATGTAGCATTAAAGTGAGCTGCTGAACCCAACAGCTAACCTCAAGATTAAATACTGCAGATTATCCGTTAGAATCAAACATGTACGGATGACGGCGAATGCAAAGACGTTGAGTAACATTAGCAGAACAAGTCAGCAGACTGACTCACTAATGTCAGTTGCACACCAATGTCTATCTAAAGTTTGCTAACATTAGCTAATATTAGCCACCATGTGCTACCAGCCCAAAAGCTGGGTGATTCCAGGACACGGGGCGCTGTGTGTAGATGTAGTGTGGACTAACCGGGCAGTCTTACAGTGATTCTTCTCCTGGAATCATTTCAACCATTACCAAAGCAGTTCATCAAATTGCATTTCTTATTTGTATGCCGACAAGCCTGTATGATAAAGAGCAAGTGATTTTTGAAGTGTAAGATTTAAACCTGTGCAAATGCAGCAGTAAATGTGCCACTCGCCCCTTGATAACCTTTATGTTCAAGCTCACGCCAAGGTGGTGTAATACGGACAGTATCCCCAGCAGCTTGTTGAATAGTACTCAGGGCGCTTTGGTGGCCTGGTTTGTCTGTTTTCAGAGTCATGTTGAAGTGCGGCTTAGCCTCTGGGTGGCTGAACATGAGGGCGTGCTGCTGAGGTGACAGAGATATCCTATCTGGCCTCATTTACTCTGGGGTCGTAAGCACTGTTTGCATGGAGGCTCAAACGACCGGTACTTTTAGCTCATTCTCACACAGAAGAATCACTGTACTCATGGGTGACGTCTTCAAAATGCCAACATTTGTGTTGACTCTGCCAATTTCCTCTCACATGCAGTAACTAATCTGCTCTATTCTTCTTTTGTTTTAATAACGCTGGCGATGTCATCAGGGTTATCATGAATTGTGTTTCAGGGTGGTTCTTCAGGGTAAAAGATGTGGGTATTTAGGAGGCAGGGATGGTCGAATTAAAGATGCCATTTAGTTCTTTTTTAGCTATTGTAGAATCCAACTGACGTGACATATCCAGCTAAAGGGACTTAAAGTCTTTCTGCTGCTTCCTTTCTCTGTAATATTTAGTCTCTTGTGGCCCCCAACTTGATGATTGTATTTTTCTTCTAAATTGACCACTATTGCTGGAGGAGCCCGTAATCCTCTTCCTCCTGCAGTTTTCTCTAATTCTGAAATTTGGAGTGAAATATGTCTGCTAGTACTTATAGGTTGATAAGTCGTGAGTAGGAGATGCATCTTAACAGAGAGAGAGAGAGAGAGAGAGAGAGAGAGAGAGAGAGAGAGAGAGACACAGAGAGAGAGGGGGGGGGGGGAGAGCATCTGCATCATCAGAAAATCCCACACTTGATACAAGCCAGCGTCAAATCCTTTGACAACGTGACACCCTATAGGCTGAACCCTCGTGGGCATCGCGCTGGAAGAGAGAAATAAAGTCCTAATGTGTGACACTCTGACACACGGCTGAGCTCAGAGTGGGGATGCTGTCGGTATCCTCATCATCACTGGAGATGTCCGGTAACCGCGGAGCGCCAAATGGGACCGTTACCTCCACCAGGAAGTTAACCGGGACTCGTGCATCTTCTCCACTTGGCTCGCACCCATGAACTTTACGGTCCTCCGCGCGCCGCTGCATCCTTCTCACGGACAATGAAGACGACTCGCAAATGCAGGAGCCTTTTGTCGGTTACCTTGAACTTCTTCGCCATCTTCTTCTCAACGACCGCGTTCATAACGACCTACTGGTGCGTGGGGACCCAGAGAGTCCCCAAGCCCAAGTGCAGCAAGCTGCGGACGCACCAGTGTATTGACTACGGAGTGAACGAGACAGACCCCAACAAAGTGGTGTACAGCTGGGAGACCGGGGACGACCGGTTCCTGTTCCGACAGTTCCACACCGGCATCTGGTTCTCATGTGAGGAAAACATCCACGATGAAAGTAAGAGGAGCAGGTGTGTGTGTGTGTGTGTGTGTGTGTGTGGCCCCTGGACTAAAGTGTTATATCTTTACTTTATGCCTCACCGTGGGACAAAGTTAATGTGATGCTCACTGCTTGTGTCCAAAGCGCAATTATTTATGAGATGTTTAACTGTTGCGTCACTGTGATTGGAGGGATATGTGTCCATGAAATCATTTCTGATGAGGAAATTATGAAAAAAGCTTTGATATAGAAAAAATGTTCTTTTTTATTTTTATCACTGTTTCAAACTATTTTAATACGCCTATATTTTTATTGATAAACATTGATTTAAAAAACTTCAAAACATCTATTTGGGGCTATCATAACAATTTAGTTTTACTTTTCATTATCTCTTGTTTTAATTAGAATAGATCATCATTGTCATCGCCGTCACAGTTCACTTAACCAGACATGAGGCTTTTGTCTCAGCCTGCATAACCAGTGACTCACCAATCCCACTTTAAAACACAATCCCACAGAAACAAAATCATTTCAGTCATTTTAGCTCCTTCATTTGTCACAATGGAGCTCTCAGGTCAAGTGGAGATTAGTCGCTCTCTTTAATGTATTCCCTCTCGTGACAATTTCGGGATAATCGCCTTCCATTTATATCAGTGTGCTCCTCAAATTGCAGGGATCTAGTGAGATCTGTTTTTATCTGGCATGGAATGCAGAGCGAACAGCAGCACATGGGAGCTTCAGTTTAAAGTTTAAAAGGAGAAAGAAGGACACTCACACACATTCAGTGGTCTACTCTGGGGCCTAAAGTGGCTGCACGGCACTTGATATAGGGACACAATTGTGATTGCTTCACAGCCAAAGGGAAGAGAAAGAGAAGAGTGGTATCTGGTCGAGTTTCATTTCTTCACAGGAAAAGTAATTTGGTAATTTAATAACAAAGGGCTCAAAGGGGGGGAATGAGTCGCCACGGTGTCGTGCGTCAGAAAGGGTGAAAGTTCAAGTCAAAGTTGGGATCAGAGCAGATTAGTCCTCTCAGGTTAGTTCACTGCAACTTGATCAGGACTTGTCCCCGCATCCATCTTCAAACTCAGTCCAACACCACTGAGCTTATAACTGTGACAATGTGTTAATAATTCATACGTTTATGGCTAGAAATGAACCGCACGTTGAGATTACTCCAGAAGGAATTCCCACATGCCCATCTCATCAAGTGTCTGTGTGTTGAGGAGGAGGAGGGGGGGGCGGGGGGGCTGAGACAGCTTGAGTTAATCAGGATTATGTCACAGGGGCCTTGATGAGTTTTTCCTCAAAACAGCTGTTGCCACCCTCCTCCTACCTGATTAAAGTGTTCAACTTACAACAAATCCGGCGACATGCTCTGCTCAGCAGATGACAGAAGGAAAACATCTGCAGGAATGTGTTCGGGTTAAAGGTTATTTATTTATTCCATTCCGTTTGTTAAATCCACACGGGCTCTTATTACGTGTTTAAGGTTTGACAGGCACAGGTGTAATTAAAGTGCATCTTTCCTTTCTTCAGGATGAGATCTCTATTCTATTCTATTGTAATTCTTTGTAAACCTGTAACTCAATAGAACAGGAACCAGATGTTAGGCGGCGTTGCCAACACACCAGCTGGTGACACTGAACCAGAAGCCCAAAAAGCTGCATCTCTGATATATGCCTCTTATTCAACATTCTGTTTATTCATTTTGGAACGTACAAACTCTGAACCTGCTGTTGCTGTGTGGTCATCGGGCAGGAGGTCATAAACCGATCCAGCTAAACACACCTGGACAGACGTTGGGGATTAAACCCATATTAGGATTTGGACTTAGTATCAGTTCAGTACTCAGCGCTTTTATTTATTCAGTTTAGTTTAATCCCAAACCGCTCTTCTCTGACCTTTTCAACAACTCACATGTCCTTCGAACTCCTCCACAAACACATTACTCACTTCTTTCTGAACTGCCACGGAGTGAATTCAACATAAAGTATTGGCTAAAGATTCCACCGACACCGTGCTGCGCTAAGTCCTGACGATGTCTTTCTGCTGCAGGTGAGATGTGCAGAAGCTTCATCGACTTGGCCCCGCCGTCAGAGAAAGGTGAGTGTCCACTGCTCATCATCATCAAAAGTCCTCCAACAATCCCACGAGGACACTTGTCAAGCAGTTACTATCTGTTCAGTGGAGTGTCTGAATGCTGCTCGACTAAGGTTAGGGAGGTTTATTGTATCGTGTTGTATTGAATGTCATATATTGCTCCTTCAAATCCAAAAGTTACACATTTTCTAAACAATTGTACCTATTGATCCAGGTATGATATATAACATCCACTGATAATTTTCTAATAATTATCCACTGAGCCACTGAGCTGTGGAGGGTGATTGTCACCTTGTACAGTAAATACTTACATAGTATCATGTTTGGTATGATTCTCTGACTTCCCAGTTCCCAAATTCAATAACCTAACTTTAATTCTGGGCATTGGCCGTTTAATATGAAACCACAGAGCCACTAATGAAGCCACACACATTCGAGGTTAACTTTTAGGATTTCCAGCTGCGTTGACGCTGTCGTTTAAAAAAAAAAAAATACTCATTTCCTGTCTCGCTGTGAGACGATTCAATGGGATCAAAGACGAGACGGAGACTGCAATGGAGATGCGATTAGGCTTGGCTTGATTCATTGGAAAGCTGAATAAGATTTGGAGTAGATTTGAGAGCTTTGACATCAGCTGAAATTCAGCATTGGACCACTCAGACATGTAACATCAGCCCCTGTTGCTGCCAGAGGAAACACTGAAATGTTGGAATGGATATACAGGAAGTCCACCAAGACCGATATTAATATAACAAAAGAATAATTCACAGTTCAGTATAATTAAACAGCAGTACATTTAAAATGACTTGTCAACTACCATCTGTACTTAGAGTGACTGTGGATTTATTGTAACATACTGTAAACATACTGTAAATGATATGATATGTCATGTGAATATTTATCATAATCAAACGGGCCCATTGTGCAGGGATGCTGTGGCTGTCGCTGGTCTCTGAGATGCTGTACATTGTTCTGCTGGTGGTGGGCTTCAGCCTCATGTGTTTAGACCTGGTCCACTCCAGCAACGTCATCGATGGACTCAAGCTCAACGCCTTCGCCGCCATCTTCACTGTGCTCTCAGGTAGCCATGTTTTATGTGTTATTAACTGACACTTTAGTGTTTGTGATTCCTGTTTACACAACTCGATAAACAACATGCACAACTTATCATGTCCTATCTTGATAAACATGATGAACTATTTAGATGGGGATTCAAGGCTATCAAGATTGGCACGTCCTTATTTTGTTTACATACATGCATATTTCTGCGTTCATGAAAAGGCTTTACTCCAAGTCTGTAGAAACAAATCATCTTATTGCTGAAGAGTTCTTTGTGTGTATTTTGTATTTGAACCACAAGCCACGCAGCCATCTAACCATCTACATATTGTCTGCATTACTTCAGGTCTTCTTGGCATGGTGGCTCATGTGATGTACACACAGGTCTTCCAGGTCACTGTCAGCCTCGGCCCACCTGATTGGAGGCCCTACAACTGGGACTACGGCTGGTCCTTCTGGTACGACTGGTAGTTTACCAATATCACGTGAAGCACTGCTGTATCAATACAGTTCAGTCAACTCCCCCGTTGATGAGGGATTCCATTCTGCCTGCAGCAGCCCCCCAATAGTGGGTTGTAGCTCTGCTCTCACCCCAGCATCGCTGTCTCTAATGAAACCAGCCCAAAGCTCTCATGTTACGGCAGGATTAGGCTTTGGTGTCCAAAGCCCCAATGCAGGCGTGATTGGCATTGCATAAGGGGATGATATTTCACTCCTTTACAATACGCACAGGATGCTGACAATTTGCTTTAGAGGCTAAACAATACTTGACCTTTAGTGGGCATTAACCAACCCGCATGAAAAGTACATGAGACGATGATTGTCTGATCTCCCGTGTGGGCCGGCATGCTTGAGGGGAGCAGAAGGACTTTGAAGTGATTCACACAAATCTCCACAAACAAAAAATATTGAGGGTAAAAAAGAAAGTCCGAATGCAATTTGGATTGTGTCGCTACACGGAATTACAAAGTGAATTTCTCCTTGTTGTGTTTTCTATCAGCATGGCCTGGGCGTCCTTCACCTGCTGCATGGGCGCATCAGTCACCACACTCAACTCCTACACAAAGACCGTCATCGAGTTCAGGCACAAACGCAAGACCTTCGAACAAAGCCTACGCGAGGAGCACGCGCGGGAGGCTTTCGGATATTTACGGGAATGCTCCCTGCACTCCATCTCCAAATCTGTGGAGGTTTATTCCAGCCAGACCCTGAAGAGTGGCAGGAAGACTCTCACACCTGCAGACTCTCTGGACCTGAGTGACATTGCAACATCTTTAGGGGAAGAGCAGTGCTGAACATGGCAGGACAGTTAGGTGGTGGTGTCGCTCTCGGTGTGGCAACGTGATGGATGGAAGCGCTGTCGTCCATATGTGGTCGGCATTCAGTTTGGGACGAATAGCTGACAGGATTTCAGGGATCCATCATTAGCTCCTCCTGATTCGCTGCCTTAACCGTGGCTCAAACCAGCTTCAACTGGAAAGAGTGGACATGAGCCAATCTCACGGATGAAGGTGCTGTCGCTGTTTGTGTAACCTACCACGATGTAGAAGTAAAAGAAAATGTGAAGTATACCCATAGAAATAGAGTGAGGGCCTCTCGCGGCTCCTCCTCCTGCCAGCAGCACAGCCTCGCCTCGCTGCTCCACCGGTCCCACTGAAAGCCAACACCGACACCACGCTGCTGGAGACCTATAGGTGCTGGAGGGAAGGGAGTATCAGGAGAACCAGGACTGACTGTCAGACCCCTGCTGCAGTAAAATGAGAGGTTTTGTAAATGGACTCTGGAACTCAGAAACACGACCACTCTTGTCAACAGGACCCACCAAAATCAAAACAAAATGAAGGTTCCTTGTAGTAGCTTTAAACATGTTTCAGTCAATCAATAAATCAATGCAAAGACACTGGTTACTGGTTTTCATTCATTGTGAAATAAAGACACAAACGATTATTTCAAATGATGTTTCCTACATATATACATGTAAACAAGTATCTTTGTACACAGAATGACTGGAAAGTTGTGCATCATTTTTCTGTTACATGTTTACAACCAGTTACAACATGTCTGGGGGGATCTTTAGTGTAACTTTGGAATCACTGGCTGAGATCAGAGTTTCAGAAGACAGATGTGTGATAATACTTAAAACTCAACAGCTAATCTGTGGCATTGCATACATAATCCCTGTAGAGGGCAGTGTTGTCTTAACAGACTGCAAAATTACGTTTCAATCAATTTCTACTGGTGACTGTATTCTTTATTGTTCAGGCATTTCTTACAATATAATGTGATGCGAGGGTGCATAAAAGTTGCCTTCTTTCTTTTCACTCGATATCAACAGAGCTGTTGTGTTTTTATCCATTACGGTGTGTAAATGACAGGAGGTTTAGTCTGTTTTAAGGGTTCATTGGATGTTTTGTTGTTGTTCTGCCGGACGTTGTGGTAGATCAGCAGCTCAATCAAGAAGAGTGTTAACAGGTTTGCCTCATTATTTTCTTGAATGGTGGCACTACAAAAGGACGGTGACAAACTTTCTTTTATTAAGTATCTGGTATTAATCTACATTTCACAGAGAATATAATAGTATTAACAACTTGTGTTAATGATACAGAAGTTACATTAGGCACAAGATCAGACCTAGTGTATATGTGTTATAATACCTATTTATCTTACAAGGCTTGTATACTGTTTTAGAAACATATTAAAATATATTGGTAAAAAATATTGCATAAAGAGGTGGACCTGCACTCTCTTCTAGCCCTGCTACAGGAGAAATCTCAGCACTTTGTTCTTTTAAATTTACAGCAGGATTGAACAATGTAATTCTGGAGAAATTAACTTAATCATTGACTTATAACTGATGCTAATTTATCTATGGTCGACATCTGAAATCCTAAACTGACAAGTGTGATTTCTGTCCTCTGTTGTTCTTTTAGTCGTGTTCCTTCTCCCCACAGTAAGATCGACGGCTCTGGTCAGTAGCCGTCGTCGTACTCATTCTGGGCCTGTTGGCGGGCCAGCATGGCCTGTATGAGGGCGCTGGAGCCTGCCGGAGCTGAGTTCTGTGGGGGAGCTGGGACCCACGGAGGCCTGTCCTCTTTCTCTGCTCTCTCTCTGGCTTGCACGACTTGCATCATGACACTTGACACAGAGGACGGCAGGTCATGTGTGTCATCCTCTCCGTCCTCCTCTGCTCTTTGTCTGGCTTCCATCGCCTGCGTGACGACGCTGGATGTGTTGATAGGGCTTTCAGAAAAGCCTGTGCTGTAGTACTCATCCCTCTCTCGACCCTCGGCCCTCTGCCTGGCTTGCATGGCCTGTGTGAAGGCGCTCTGTTTATCTTCATCCTGGTCGTCAGCTCTCTGGCGGGCCAACATGGCCTGCATCAGAGCGCTGGAGGTGGAGATGTCGGAGGGAACGGGCACTCCACCACTGCTGCATCTCTCTTCCTCCTGTTCAAGCTGCTGGCGAGCGAGTAACGCCTGAACCATGGCGTTTGAGTTGGACTGACCGGTCGAGGAGTGGTCATCTGGACGCCGCTTGGAGTGCTAAGGACAGGAGAGAATATGCAGCGAGGTTGATAACAAATCTCTGTGTGAAAGGTGAACAGTTACCGTGAAATCATCTTCACATCAAACCTTTTTTTGATTGTTCTGTTTGGATTTTTTATCAGGCTGGGACTTTTGGAGGTTCTGGAGCTTGTCTAACAAGAAGGACTTGTCTTTCCCTTCCTGGTGGGAGAAAATAAATGAGTAAGAGAGAGAGCGAGAGAGAGAGAGAGAGAGAGCGAGAGAGAGAGAGAGAGAGAGAGAATTATTTGACATGCAGGCATACCAAAAAGCAACCAAGCAAAAATACACAAAACAACATTTTAATGATGGTTTTTAAAACACACTCACATTAACAATCCGTTGTCTCAGTAGACCAATAAGCTGCTTGCGGCCCTGAGTAACTTGCCAGAAGATGAATATAATGACACTGAGAAAGAAAACATGATAATATGAATGACAAATTATTGTAGACAGCATTTGCATAAATATGCTAAATGAATACACACACACACAAGCACACTGTGTGCCCACATTGTTCAGTCTATGATTTAATATTCAAATGAATGTCAGTAAAGACAGGATAACGTTGGGACTGCTTGGTATGACGCAGTTTTCATGTGGCTGAATTGAGCACCATGGTTACCCTGCAGGACCCATTCAATGACAAACGGATCTTTAATGTCCAAACCAAGGTCTGAAATGTAAATCCACAAAACACCTAGTTGTCCATTTTGTTGACACATTGCCTCAGCTGATTAGTTCCTTTTTTGTTATTTCTTGAATAAACAATAAATTAATAATCTTCAGAATTTCTTTTTTTCCCCAATCAACACAAAACATTTTTCACAGTTCATATATGGCTCATCAGTTTCAAGAAAAACAATATTTCACAAATATAATTTATACTTAAATTTCATCATACTCATATTTCTAAGGATGTCAATTTTGCATCGTCCACCTCAATTTCCACCATGAGATCTAAATTGAATTTGTCCAATAGGCCCACCTTGGTTTAGGACCAAAACATGCAAAACTAATGACACTCCCATTAGCCTTCCCATGTTAGCATGCTAACGCGCTAAACTGCCCAACTGAACATGGTGAGCATCATGTGTGCAAGCGTTGTCGTTGTAAGCGAGTTAGCCTCGTGATATCAGTATTTAGCTCAAAGCACCGCTGCTCCTCAGTATGTAGACGTTTAGTTGATGCTCTGCAAATCCAAATCGAACATCTTCTGCTGTTGAAGATCATGTGATATGATTGCAAGGTTAAGAACATCAACATTAAGGGTGTCAGGTCTGAGCAGCACATGACACAATACATTGCGGTGGGGTTTTTCTCCTGGGTTTGATCTGCAAGACCAGAATGAGTGAAACCAACACAATCCATGTCACACACTTACACGATGATGAGTGAGATAAAAAAGTAGAAGATTTCACTTCTGATGACATTTTTGTAGATCCAGACGGCCCATTGAGAACCAGAGATCTTCTGCAAATCATCCATCCACACTCCAACCACACTGAAGGTGTTGTTGAGTCCCCGAAAAGGACCGCACTGCTCCGAGGGAGTCAGACTACAGCGCAGGACAAGGTGCACAAAGCAAGACTTGGGTTTGTACAGGTAAAGAATGCAGCATGTATCACAGACTGGTACTGTTGGGTTTTGTTAGAAGTTTCTTTCTTGTATAATAATTAACTTTACATCAGGTTGTTAAAGAGATACCAAAGTTTATAATATTCAAAATAGGTCATGTGCTTGTACCTCCAGGAGGTGTATGCAACCATGGACAGGGCTCCGACAAAGAAAGGGAAGAAGAGGAGGGCGATGAAGATGGTTTGCATCTGAGCTGCTCTGCCCGACCGTCGCGGAGGCTGGCAGTTCTGGACCAGGCTGACCTGGGTAAGTGGTAACCAAACACACACACACACACACACACACACACACACACACACACACACACTCACTCATTCAGCATGTTCATAAAACATTCAACAACACCAGATCACATTACAATATTAAATGACTTTACTCTGGGATTGATTGACCTTTCGTGGTACAGAACAACCAAAAGGTTTACTCCACAAACCCTACCTGTCTTTACTATGAACCATCGCATGCTGTCAGTGTCATGAAAGGATTTAATTAAATTATTGAACCAGGTGCACAAATAGTGTAACATGAGCCTAAAACATTGCATAGAGCAGCTCGTGCATTCTATCTTCCTATGGCCGTGTGTCATCATGGCAGTTCAAATCACCAAGGCCTCTCAGCTTTATGAACCTGCATTTACCTTCTTTACGTAAAACAAAAGGAAAAATTTGAGGATCTGGATGGCAGGCAGCAGAGGAGAGAAGTAGATTCCAATCCTGTGGGGAGATAATAGAAGGTAAACTTACTTTTATAATAAATTAGCCCTGAGAGCAGAAGAGACAACACAAGTCCTGTGAGTGAGCTCTCACTGTAGATGTTGTAGTAATCGTTGAATGTATTGATCTCACCAGGCCAGAGTCTGTGCGTAGATGAGTTCGAGGACATTTCTGGCTACGTCAAACTCTGGAACCCCGAGACGAGGTAGTAGTCTCGTCCCAATCACACTGTTACAAAGAAATGACGCTTAGTTTAACCGACTCCATTTCTATGATTGTGAAGAATAAACTGAAAGTGTGTAACTCACTTGCTAAGAAACTCTCCAAAGAAGGATCCCAACATCAGAAAAAGGAAATCAACAATGACCAGACGGTACAAAGCCTGGCCCACAATGGACTCCCAACACTGTGGAGAACACAACACTTCATAAACGACTGTCTATAGACCGACATAACTAATATCGGTGTATTTAAAGATGGCAAGAAAGGGTTGATCCCTTTTAAACATACTGAAAACTTCTTAGCCACCACATTCATCCAGTAATGACACAAGACGGCCAGAATGGATATCTTGAGGAACACGTTTCTTTGGGAAAAGAGAAACAAAGGATTATTAATGTTTAAAGGTATAGTTTGACTTTATGGGGAATATGGCTATTTGCTTTCTTGTCGAGAATTAGTTGAGAAGATTGATACCACTGTGTGAACGTACAGCAAATACAAAGCTGGAACCTGCAGCCGGTTAGCTTAGCTTAGCATAA